GCGGCCGTGCCCATGGGCATGCTGGCGATGCGCCTCACTGCCCTCGCCAACAATTGCTTGGCACTGCCTGGAAGACAAAGTCACCGAGGCGGCTGCAGCTGCGTTCATGCGCACGCGCCGCACCCTGCCAATGCCCGCGCTGCGAGCCGCATGAATCTGCCTGCTGACGCGTTGTGTTTGTCTTCACTCTCTGCGACAACGTGGGGAGGGAATTTTCTGAGAAGAGGGCCGAGGAGAGGGCGGAGCGGACCACCCTACACTGGCATTGCTGCGCACCTGCCAGGCGACGCCGACGTTGAGGCGGCGCTTGTCAATGCACGTGCACACCTCCACCGACAGACAATAAAGAGTGAGCACAGTGCATGTTCGCTGGTAGCCCACAGCAAATGGCTGCAGACACGCGCATCGCACCCGTAGCGGCAGCGCAGCTCCCGCTCCACGTTCGCTTCCATGCAGAAGTCCAGAAGAGCAGTGCCTCTGGAACGCATCGTTTCCATGTCGCGCGCAGTGAGGCAGAGCGATGCACGGAAGTGCTAAGGAAGTTGACGAACACTTTACGAAGCCTGTGGCGCCCGTGACTCACTCCACCGGTGCCACGCTCGTGTTGATCTGACAGGCGCCTCTGCGCCATTCAGCTGCCATATTAGCTTTCTATAAACCTTTTAAAATGCCGCTTTGTCGCGCATGGCCAACAGAGCATGAAGCGTCGCGCGATCTGAGGCGTCATGGGCGCCATGCGAAGCAGCCCGGGCGGGGAAAAATCTATTCGTCGCACCATGTTTATTGACACTCCACGTTTGTTGCTTTAATGCTGCCCAGCGAATTAGCCCTCGTTTCAAACGACGCTATTGTTTGAGCAGGCCAGGTGTCTTACGCAGCTGCGGCCGAGCAACACAACCACTCTAAGATGGAAATTTTATACTTGCAAAGTATGGCATTATATAACGGGTGCGTCCCTCAGGACTGAGGGGTGTACTGTACCGGTAGGTTGCATTGATTGCGAGGAGACCGACTGTGCAGCCAGTCCAGAAGGCGCACAGGCACGGAAATGAACGGGAGCTTCTGGTTCGAAATATCTGTGATAATCCTCCATATTGAAGCACGAGGCGTCTGTACATAGCGACGCTGCCGGATGCTTTTGAAAGCGATGAAACAGCGAAACCGCTCCTCGCGCGGGGGAGCAGTGCCATTCGGATACATGCAACATCCTTCTCCGATGATCTTGTCATGCGAATACGTAAGAAAAACCATATGCAAGCGCCAGTACCGTGAATGGCGGTGGCAGTGCTTCGCACCACTCCGCATCGCGCAAACTCAGACTTTGGGTCTCCTGACAGGCACCCCCCAGCCTGGCTTGTCTGCCTCTGCTCCATGTCCATGGTCCAGGTGCTTCTGATTTGGGTTTACCTTTGCTTGCAGAAATGTCTGCCTGCCTTGCAGGTGACGTTGCGAAAAGTTACAAGACAATGAGTAAACTACAATCGCATCCGTCGCGTTTCCCTCCAGATCACAAGTCTGCAAAGTGCTGCCGCAGCCGCCGCAAATCGCCCTCGTCGCCAGGCAGCACGCGCCGCAGCCGCTGCTGCGGCCCAGAGGGTGCGGCCCGGAAGGTGAAGGTGAAGGCGTTGGTGGGGCTGGAGGCCAGCCGTTCGGGGGCGATGACGCTGGCCTCCACCACCACCACCACTCGGTCCTGCGGTGGGTTTTGGGGAGCAACAAGGGCGCCGGGGACGCGCGGCGCATAATCTCTTTCATGTCTTGACATTGGACGCAGATACAAAGGGAAAGGGTGCCTATTGCGAAGCGGATCAAAGGGCGTTGCGAGTGGGTGCCTATAGCTCTGGTTGTTCTTGATGAGTGCGATGTGGTGTGCTGCGACAAAGCTACGCGGAAATGCCACAAACTCGCTTCCAGCAGCACCTCGTACGGCCCCCACACGCCGCCTTGCCCTTGCGATCGCGTCGGCCGCGAAACAGCGGGCGGCACGCACTGGGCGCGCACCCCCTCTGTGTGCAGGACGCAGCTCCTCAGCCGCAGCAGGTCCCCCACATCGACAGGCTTCTTGAACTGCGTGGGTTAATAAAAAAGGGTTTAGGGTTTAGGGCGTGGGTGCGGGGTTGAGGGCGTGGTAGGGCCGTGGGCAGTGACTGCATCCTGGTGTGTGTGCGTGCTGGTCGGGGAAGGGGCCGCTGGTGTGGGGCTGGTGTGAAAGCGCCCAGCTGCAGACAGGCCCAGCACGACTCGTCTGTCGGCCCCTTGCACGCCCAGACTGTCCCCTCAAGCGGGCATCCCGAATGCACCCCGCCGTTCCTCCCTGTCACAGCGCAAAACATCAACCCCCCTTCCATCCAGGGCCGGCCGCCCCTCTGACCTGGACGTCGTCGACGCAGTCAAATATGGGGCGGCTGCCGGCAAACACGTAGCAGGTGGCAAACGCGAGCTCAAAGGCGCGGCGCAGCAGGAAGCCGCCAAACACGCGGCCTGCAGAGGGGGTAGGAGCCGGGCAGTCCGTCAACCAGCAATAGGGAGCGAGACTGTGTGCGCTCGATTGCTGCGTGGACAGCGCGCGAGGCGCAGCCTCAAGGCACGCGGGGCTGCTGGGAGGCGGACCGGGCGTTCTGGGTTGCGGTCGGGCTGCGAGAGACCAGCGCAAAGTACGGCGCCGTTGAAAGAGGGGCGCTGCCGAGGGCCCTGCGCGCACCGTGCGGGTTGCGCTGCTGCGGCTGGCAGGTGAATGTGTTCTCGAGGCTTGTCTGGGGCGAGGGGTCCAGGGGCAGCAGGCGGAACGAGGAGGAGGGGCATTGCAGGTCATCACGTGTTTGTGAGTTCGTGGGGGTAGCGGCCGTCCTGTTTCATACCCATGCAGCAGGTGCTGCTGAAGGTGTAGGGGGGACGAGTGGGTCGGTGGGGATAGCCACATGCCTGCATGCCTGCACGTGCGCACTACGTCACAGCCCCGCGCGTTGCCGGGGCGGAGCCGTCGGCGGCGGCGGCCGCGCCCGCGCACCTGCCCCATGAGCATGTCGTGCGGCGGCGCGAGGGCCGGCATGTCCCTCACGATGCTGGCTGCCGCCACCAGCTCTGCCAGGTGGGCGGTGACGCTCTCGGTGACTGCGGTGGCGGGAGGGTTGGCAGAGTGGGCCCAGAGGGTCGCAGAGCAGAGGCCGCCAGGCCGGGTTGCTCGGCGCGTCGCGGTCTCCGGCAGCCGCACTGCGGCGCAGCAGGCACGCCGCAGACGGGCGGCGAGCGAGCTCGGGGCGCCGCAGGGTGCGCGCCAGCCCGGCGCCGCCCATGCCGGCACCCACCCTCCACGACGCCGCCCCTGGCCGCCGCCGCCGCGCGCTGCGCCTTGCGGGCGTCCGCTACTGCTTGGCGCTCCGCGGCCCAGCGGCGCTCCCGCTCTGTTGCGGGCGCGAGGGGCGGCAGGGGGTGGGGCTTGCCGCCTGGCCCCAGGCTCACGAAGCTGAACACTGCCACCAGGCTGGGGTCGTCGGCGCGGTGGGGGCCGGGCTGGGGGGGGGAGGCGCGGGATGTTCAGGTGCAGGGGTGCCGTGTAGGGCGAGCAGTGTGGTGTAGGGGGGCTAGTCGGGGGTTGTGCGTTTTTTCGGCGAGTGTGGGTGTGCTTGTGGGAAGCCGAAGCCTGGCGGTTGCGCCACCGACTTGGCGGCCTGCGCGCATTGTGCTGCCCGTCCCCCTTTGACACCTCCCAGCCCAGCCCAGGCCATGGGGGGGCTCTTGCCTGTGTGAGTGTCATGCGTATGTCGAGGGAGCTGCGGCCGGTCCACACGACCTGGCCCTCCAGTGTCAGGTCACGCTCCAGATTTAATGGCCTGGTTGGCGCGGGGCAGGGGTCGGGGCCGAGACTCCTGATTGTCGGAGGCTGCGCGCGTCAAGTTGCTGTGCAGTGCGGGGGTGGAAGGTAAGGTGCTGCAACAAGCGTTGCTGGTCACTTTGCAACAGGTTCAGTGCAAGTGAGAGGAGCGGGAGGGATGATGCACGCGCACGCATGCAGCGTGGGATGCGGGACAGCGTGGCGCCAGCGGTCAACGCGCGGCTGCCCCGTCAGCGCAGCCCCAGCGCACCTCCAAAGGTGGATGGCGTCGATGCCGGCGGTGACGAGGTGGGGCGAGCGGCGGCCCGGCACCGCGCAGTGGCGCAGCGCAACTGGCGACGGCGGCAGCGCGGCGGGGGGGGGGGCGTTGTCACGCGGCAGACGACAATGATTCAGCAGCTGGGCAGGCACTTGCCACTCTTCCCTCCATCAAGTGCAGGATTTGAAGAGGTCGCCACTCAGGAGAGGTCGCCACTCAAGAGCACCTGCCACTTGGATCCCCGTCCCGTGTGTATTCAGTCCCACGCACTCTGCGGCCAGAATCACCTGGTGGATGGCACGCATGCGCGCAAGCAGTCACGCACTCACGCAAGCGCAACACGCACATGCTCTATGCACGCACGTGTGCACGAAACCACACATACACAATTTCCCCGCCTGCTCACACCCGTCCCCTTGCTCATGCTCGCCCCCCAATCAATCCAGGGCCCCCCACCCCGCCCCACCCGACCCCGCCAGGCTGTCAAGGTCCTCCAGCAGGCGCCCTATGCGCACACCACGCCAGGGGTTGGCGTAGCCTGGGGGAGGGGAGGGAGAGGGAAGGGGCGCACGCGGCAGCGTCAGGAGCGAGCCTGGGTTCTGCCTTCAATCAGTCGTGGCGGGCACGTGGGAGACAGCGAGGCGGCTGTGTTGCCTGGCTGCCCCAAGGCAGGGAGAGCAAAAGAAAGTTTATCATAGGCAGCAGCTTCAGTATACAGGAAGAATGCAGGAAGAAGCGCTCACACTCCACTAGGCCGCTGTCCTGGGTGAAGGGGTACACGACACTCGTCGCCTGGGGCGCCTGCGGCTCGGGGGCGCCCGTGCTGTCGTCCGCAGGGGCCGGCTGTGTCTGCTGCTGCGTATTCCACTGCAGGCGCTCTGCCCAGAGCCGCTTTGTGACAGGTGTATAGGCACCAATGAATTGGTCCTGCTTTGCTGTTCTGCTGCCGCCATCGGTCGCAACCGCACGCCTGGAGCCGCCTTGCAGCGCAGCACGAGCAGTGCATGACGCCCTGCCGCCCGCCGCCAGGCTGGTCGCACCCAGTGATACGAGGCCGGTGATCAGGTGGTACAATGGCATGGCACCGCCTGTGCTAGCTTGCAATAGCGCTCTTCGCAGCAGCGCCTGCTGGAGGGCCATTGGCATACGTCACCCGTGATCTACGCAGGTGCCATGCTACCATATGGCGGGTCTGGTACATGATATACAATGTACAGGCTTAGGATATCAGCCTTCCAAACGATCGCTGATCGCAAGCACAACGTGCTTCGCAATCTTCAAATCTGCGTCTCAAACGCACCCCAATGTTGGGCACCCTGCTTTGACGTAGCATAGCAAATTTGTTTCATCCCGCGGCCCACTTGCATTGTTGCGTGCAGCATCGATGCAAGCCTGTTGTGCAGACTGGCATTCACAACTTCTTGCTTGCTGCACTCACGCATGCGCTTGTCAGCTTGGCGGTCGCCAAGCGCATGAGTGCAAGGGTATGCCAATGTGCCTGGATATACGTGGGTTGGCTCCAGTGGCAGTTGAGTATGCCGTTGAAGATCATGATATACTTTTGAGTTCACGCAACCGTACGATTCTCAGCTGCCAATATCACCAAGAGGAATCACAAAGCCTTTGACTGAGAGCTGTGAGACTTGACACCGTTGCCAATGACGGGGGCAAGCGCTTACTTGCTGAGCGTCAACACCAATGGAAGTCAAAAGAGGACTGCAGGAACACAGGAGCACTGAGTTTATTGTGCTTTCAAGCAAGCGGCTCAACACTCATTGAGGCGCGAATGCCACAAGCAGTCGTCGCACAGCACGAGAACCTGCGCCCGCCACAGGCGCAGCCCCGTTGCAGTACCCTCCGCGGCGAAGCCTGCTACACCAGCCCTGCGCCCAGCTGCTTCATCTTGGCCTGAGCCCTCGCCAGCGAGGCCGGCCACGCCACCACGTCCTCATCAGCCACCTCCATGTCGAGCACGCCACCGTGCAGGGCCACCCCGCAGCTGCCCAGCAGCGTCTGCCACGGCAGCGGCCTGCCCAGCAGTGTGAACAGCTGGCGCTGCGCGGGGATGCCGGTGGCGGCCTGCATGTCGAGCGCGAGCTGGTAGACCAGGTAGTGGGGCGGCTTCTTGAAGGCCATCGTGCGGGCGTGCTGCTTGCCCGGGCGCTCCCACTCGACAGTAAAGCGGATCAGGTTGCTGCCGACGTGCGCCGGGGTCAGAGATTCTTGGCCCTGCATGACGGAGACAGGGCAGCACAGTTAGCGGGCAGGGGAGGGACGAATATTGCAACTCCCAGCACAACGCAACGGCAGGCCTGAGGCGGGACGGCAAGGATCCCCTGCTGAAGTGCGGCTCCTACCGCGCCTCACGAGCACGCAGCAAAGTCAAACCCCGCTGCACCCTGTCTTGCATGAGCCTCTCGCACCTGACGAACTGGCCTGCATGGGGCACACGCGCATCCACCCGGCCCACCCTGTGGATCAGCATGCGCCCCATCAGCTGGGTGAGGTCACGGACATCCTCCTGGCGCAGCAGCAGCGTGTTGGGGCCAAGGATGTATCTGGCCGCCGGCTGCCAGATGCGCATGATATTGTTGCCTTTCGTTTCCCAGGCCTTCACGGCGGCCTGCCAGGGTGATACAGTAGCGTCATGAGCGCGGATGAGACACTCTGCTGCGGCTGGGGTTTTCAGGCTAGGTACAGCGTGTCACCCAACGAGCAACCTGGGCCACCACACTATTACTGCTTCCAACATCCAAGTTTGACATCCTCGACATTCTTTTCTTCTTCACCGCTGCAGCCCCTGTTGCTGCTTGCTTCACAGAATGCAGCTCCTGTGCGTCCTCATAGCTTCCTCGCTTCACACTCTATCTGCGCACCCGGACAAACTTCTGCTCCGCCTCGTCCATGTTGACGCCGTTGCCAGCCTGCCAGCTGTTGAAGGTGCCTGATTTGAAGTTCCAGCTGCCCTTCCTGATAGAGAAACCGCTGGCAATGACGCCATCAGGGTCGCAGCCAAACAGGGACTTGTACAATTTGCCATGCACCTGTCCTTAAACAAAGGCGAGTGGGAGGTATGATGCGGCTGGCTCAGACCCAGTGCACCGCATGGCCCAACAGTCATCGTTGCTGCGCGGTGGCGCAGCGGGGACAGATCTTGCTTGTACACAGCTCAAGCTAGCGTCCAGATTGGTGCAAGTACGCAAAGTTACTTGCTGGGCAGCTGATGTGCCTGATGAGAGTGCCCCGGCTCCCCGCGTTGCTGATGACCGTGGCGTTTGCCCCGCGCCCACCATCTTGCCAGCTGATGGCCAATCGCACCAGCTCACGGCCAATCGCACCTGGCCGTGGTTGCTGTCAATGTGCTGGATATCGCGTGTCTTCCTGTAGTAGATGTAGCCCGCCTTGCACTTCACACCCCCCAGGCTCCACTCTGTCCTGCCATCCTTCGCGTACAGCACCAGGCCCACGTAGTCTTCAGCGTCGCTCAGCCGGCCCTGTTCGGAGCGGTGGCTGATGTGGTAGGAGCTGACAACAGCAAAGCTGCGGCCCCCAATCAGGTGCTTAGATGCGTGCTTGATAAGCGCGCCGATGCGCGCATCTGGGTTGATGCCGGCCAAGCCGAGGGCGTCGTCGAGCTCCTCGTCAGCGGCCGCGAGGCGTGCTTGTAGGTCGGGGTCAGTCAGAACCTCACGCAACCTGAGCGTGCTGAAGCCAGGGGCGCGGCACGCGATGGGCATTGCCGCCGCCGAGCAGACACCACGCCGGTGTTGGGGAGTCAGCGCATGACTGTAACCTCTGAGAGAGCTCATCGCAGCCCGCGACGCAAGGTGAGCGTGTGGTATGAGCCGCTATGCCCAGGGTTTCTACACTTTTCAGCCCGAGTATGCTCATACTGCCACCTCGATACCGAAAAGCGACGACTTCGCAGTGCGGGTCACGGATATCATCGGTAAACCTCGGTCCTCGTTGAGGGATCCAATGGTCGAAGCCAACGCTCGACTTGGGCAACCGACCCCATATGTGGCTGGAACAAGCTTTACGTTGAAGAGTACCACGACACTGCACCTATGATGGCTGGCAATGTTGTGTGTTCTTGGCAGGCATCATGGTTGACGCCAGCCTCATCAACTTGATTGAATTCACACAAACAGACCACCACTTTGCGTGTGTATGGACCTCAGCACTCAGAAAGCTTCGCCACAGTTGCATGCACTGCTTGCGTTGCGCTTGCATATATACCTTCGAAGGCTGCACCTAACCCACCCCACTTTGCAACTTGCAGAGGCTGTTGAAGCGCCTAAGCAAACTCAGTTTGGCTTTTCATTTGCCCTGGAGGGCGGGCATCTGCCATCACCATGTTCAGGGGGAAGGATTAGGCCCATGCCCTGTTGCAGTTGTTGGTTGCGGTGCTCATGGTGACGTCAGCTGTTTTCTTTTGGGGGAACTCCTCCTATACCCTCCTGCCCCGTCAACTGCTTCAAGCAGCAGGTGAGCCGCCCATGCAACACAGCGAGGGCGTGCAATTTTACTGTGCGCGTTACACAAGGGCACAATGTTTGGTACAGAGGGCTCAAGAATCCACAAATGCTTCTGCCCGGCTCAGCACCTTTCACCCTGCAGTCTAGCCTCTATTGAAGCCCAATCGCTGCCGCCCTCTGTTCGGCCCCCCTTGCTTCCGCTACTGCACCACAAAAAAAGAGTAAAGCCAAGCTCTCATCCGCGAGTGTATTCAAAAGGCTTGTGCACGGCACAGATAGATAGATAGATAAGTTACTCATGCCATAGCATCACTGCCATCGGCCCCGCGCTCATCAGAGCTGACCTCCTCATTCCTAACCTTTCAACGGATCAGCCAGCAAGCATACACATAAGGGGCAACAATATCAGCAAGCACAGAGCCACCAAGGAAAAAAATCAAGAAACTTGTAAGCCTTCTCCTCATTCTGCATCTGCTGCAACATATGCCAACATTCAGGTGCCATCTCGTCCTCCAGTCGCCGCCACAGCTCTCCACGCACAGATTCGTACTTGGGGCAGTCCAATGGAAATGAGACACTGATTCAATTCCAGTTGAGCAGACAGGGCAGCAATAGTGAGAAGTGTCGGAGTGGTCATTCCGCCGGCTACAGCTGAACTTCCCTGTGTGCGAGGCAAGCGGGAGAGAGCACGGCAGAATAGAGAACCCCTCTTCCATGCGCCACCTCCAAACCCGAAAAGCATCCAGCAAAGTACATGCCAACATAATCCTGTACGTTTGTGGCGGCTCAAGGCAGCAAGTGCCTCAAGCAGCTCATGCTCGCCCCTCGACAACCACAACTTGGTGCCCCCGCCCCAATCCACAGCCCATGGCCGCTGGCTGCGCCACGGATCACCCCATCTGCTCGCCGCGTGCGCCTCGGCCTCCGACCGCCCCGCAGCAGCTGCCGCACGTGCGGCCGGGTCGTTGAGCGAGGTGGCCGAGGTCGCGCGTCGCGACCTCGGAGAGCACGAACAGCTTGGTCGGCTCTGCCATGCTGCCGCCGCCAAACCTGGACGCAGAGCAGACAGTGTAGGCGCCCGCATAGTCAAAGGCCAGCCAGTCGCCGTCTTGGAGCGCTGGGAGGCGCGCGTTGCGGTGCACGCAGTCGTCGGTGCGCCCGCTGTGCCCCCACAGGCGACAGGCCATCGGCGCAGAGAGCTTGGGGCCGGGGGGTGGCAGCAGTGGGGAGCGCAGCACCGTGTAGGACGGCTCCAGGCCGTCAATTGCCACCTGGCGGTTGAGGGGGGTGAGGGCGGATTTGCAGGACTAGGAAAAGCCGCACACGCCAGAGCGGAGGCCACCACAGCTGGCCGCGCGACGACCCGGACCCTTCAGGAGCCCGGTCCTCCATCGGCTCGACTCAACAATCCCAACATTGCAAGCCAACCTGAAGCACCCCCTCCGCACCGCCACTCCCCCCATCACCACCCCAGCCCCCCCCACCTGTATCCTGAACGAGCCGTATGTGCCGTCACTCAGGTGGTAGTCGCGCAGCGGCGCCCCGCACGGCGCCCGCGACGCGCGGTGCCCCAGGATTGTGGTGAACAGGGTGGCGGAGGTCTCGGCAAAGTAGCGGCCCGGCTCCGCTATGATGCGCACACCGCAGCCGGGAGGGAAGCACTCGTCCAGGGCCCTGCAGTGTGTGCGTGATTTGTGTGTGTGTGTGTGTGTGTGAGCATGTGTGTGAATGCGTGTGTGTGTGTGCACGTGCGTACGCACGCACACAAGTGGTTGTAAAGCGCACAGCCTTGGAATCAGACGGGAGGGCAGGCGACCCGCAAGATTTGGCTGCTGGGCCAAATGCTCAAAGGACTCCATGAGTGCTGTGCCTGGTCTGCACTTGGCCTTCAAATGAGGAGAGTGTGAGTTCAAAGTTTTGGTAGGCAATGGCAAAAACAGCCGTGTCTAAATGTTTTGATAAAAGGTGTGTATGTCGAATGCATGCGCGGCGAGCGTATCAGCTGGGCAGTAGCAAATCATCATCATTTCTTGTTGCCCCTGATGCTGCTGAACGCAAATCGGGTGTGCGTGCACTGCGCACGTGGCGGCCGTCTGGCCGGCGAGCCCTTGTCCCTGCAGAAGCCCTGCAGGCGTTCTTTGCAGGCCTTTTGTGCTGGTAGCGCTCATCCACAGCGTGATTGAGGGCCGCTGATTACAGGGGTCCATTTAGAGCATACGTTTTCAACATCTTTGCTTGTGCTCTCCTGCAGGACGTACAGCGTGAGCGCAAAATCGCTGTCGTGTGCGTGTGGCTATCGGAATAACATGTCTGGTGATATCATGACACAGAGCTCGGGCACAGGCCACACATGTTTAGTCAAGAGTTCAAGTTTTGACACATCATATGCATGACTGGACGCGAGGCTAGAGGCGCAAGAATAGGCCGTCTTATTCTGCACGTGGCACAATTGCACATTCATGCACCGCAAATCGGGGAGGGCGGCAACAGCATGGTGCACAACAGTCGAACACTACCCCGCAACCTCAGATGGCAACACGCAGCAGGGATGTGCGGTTGCTGATGAGCATGTGAAAGCGCACTGAGGGTGCATGCCCACAGGTGGTCTAGGCCGAGCGCCCCCGGCAACTCGGCTTCCCACTTTCCACACCAGCCACTGCCTTGCCTGTATGTACGCAGGGCTAAGGCTTGAACTGGCCCGCCTTCCATTTATCAACTTGATGCTCTCGTTGTAGACTGTGAGCTATTTCTTCTTCTCAGCAGTCAAGTACTGATACAGCGTGAAGCCGGCGATGCCCACGGACCCGGCCAGGTTGCTGGCTGCGGGCGCGCCGCCCGCCGCAAAGCCGGTCAGGATGGCCGTGCCATAGGCGGCGCTGTATATGGCCTCGGTCACGGCCAGCCCCAGGTTCAGCCTGACAGGATAGACATCGAATTGGTCCAGGTGGGGCAAAGGAGAGGGGGGGTCGAGATTCGATGTTTTGACGAGGGCCCGATCGCATTCAGCAACTTCGTGCGGATGGGGGGGCGGGGGTATCCCACAGGGCGGCAGCCAGCTGGCCATAGTCCACGCAAGGCGCACACGCAATGCCAGAAGCGGCGAAGCAGGCGAGTCGAAAAGCAATAAAAACCAACCCATGGCGCGCAGCTCGCACCGCTTAAAGGTGCTGGCGCCCAGCCGGCCCCTGTCTGCAGCGTCTCTGAGCACGAGGCTCGCGCCGCCGGCCAGCAGGAAGCCGGGCGCCCAGGTGTGCTTGAGCAGCAAGGCTAGCGGGGTTACGGGGGCGGTGAACAGCTGCTCCGGCGCCCAGCAGGCTGCAAACGTGGCGGCGTACTGCGGGGTGAGGCGGTCAGGTGGGGATCGGAGGTGAGTGGAGGGGGCGGGGTTGGGAGCGACTGCGGGACGCCGCTCGCGGCCGAGACGCCCGCCTGCTATCCCAAGCCGAGATCCTTTGTGCAGTGTCCTTTGTGCAGTCAACTTGGCCGGCGTTGCATAAAAGCGTGCCATCATTGCTTCAGAGGGCACGTGCGAGTCTAGGCACGCACCAGCAGCGAGAAGACGAGGTACGTCCACCCCGCGGCCGTCTTGGGCGGCGCCAACAAGCCGTCCGCCAACGCTCCGGCCGTGGCGCCCGACTGCTTCAGCCCCAGCCCAGCGATGACCAGAGAGCCCAGAGGGGCCGTGGGGTACAGCAGGATCAGGGGGACGCTCCACACGTCGCTCGCCTGCTTGGGACGGGTGGCACGTGCGCAGGGCGACGAGGCGGCGCGCGCTGTTGCTTGCTGGGCGTTGCATCTCGGGCCTCTGAGCTTGCGATGCGATCGCCGAGCGCCTGCCGCGCGCCGCCCCAACCCCTCGCACGTACCGCTCTGATGGCGCGGTCAGTCGCAGCCGGCTGGTGGGCTTGCCTGCCACTCACGTTTTCAACCCCCTCTCACCCCAGTCTCTCACCAGGGCGAATGCGAGCAGGTACGTCACATTCTTGGCCAGCACGGCCACCAGCAGCCGCTGATAGGTGGCGGAACCCAGCCGCCCGTTGGCCGCTGCGTCCTGCGTGCGGCGCAAGTTTGCGAAAACCAATCACCTGGGTCCGTAGGCGAGGCAGAGCCGTGCCATGTGCGCGTGTCGGCTGCACCAAGGCACACGGAATCGCGACCGCAGAAACGTCGCCGAGTGAACAAAAATCAAAACGCATGAGTCCCTCACCGCGAGAGACCACTCGGCAGCAGCGGATATGGCCATGGTGCCGCCAGCGATGCGTGCAAAGACAACCTCCAGCGGCGTCGCGGCCGCAGCTGCGCCGGCGCTGCTGGCAACCTGCAGCAGCAGTTCGGGCGCCACCAGTGCTGCCGCGCCAAATGCGACCGACACGCCAGCGAGCGCCTTGAATCCGACGGTGAGGGCGACAGCGGTGGAGGCGGAGGCCGGCGCAGAAGAGGCAGGGGTGCCGTCCGTGGCCGGCGACGCGGGTGCGGGTGCCAGGTTGTCTGTGTTTGACGGGGTGGCTGCGTTTTGTGCGGGCCGCGAACCGTCGCCAGCCGCTTGCGCAGAGGTGCTGCGACGTCGAAGGCTACTGATCCGCCAGGCCTGCGGCCGAGGGGAGGACAGTGTGGTTGCTGCCTGGTGCAGCGCGCCACCATCTTGTCACTCGGCGCGCCATGGGAGCGCATTGCACCAGGTGCGATGCAAGCGCACCTGGTGAACAAGGGCGCTCGATGCATCAGGACAGCGCCTCATCGAGCCGCGCCTGAGCGCCCTCATTTTGTTCCAGGGTGTTGTCCGCTCGCAAGATGACAAATGAGCGGTCAAGTGTGATATGACTGAAACAACGGTGTTAGTCAAGCTAAAATGCAATTTATTTGGTCAGCGTATCAGAGAGTAGATGTTGGTTATTTGATCTGCCCTCTCAAGGACAGCTCTACATGCTCATCAACAGGCGGCTGGGTTTCGCCCGCAACCCTCACCACGTTCAATATGCTCTCTTGATTGCCAGGAGCGCAGGCGGTGCAAGCGCCGGACACTCTACGGCTGCAGCGCCGCACCTTCAGCTTGACCACTTGCGGCGACTCGCTCTTGAATTCGGAGTCCAGATCCACAGCACAATCACTGTTGAAGAGACCCCATTCGGACTGGGACTCGTACACCGGCCACATCATGCAGCACGCGACCCTGACACGTCGGCGTCTGCAACACTTGCTGCGCAAGAAGGCCACCACCAGCAGCAGCAGCAGCAGCAGCAGCAGCAGGCAGCCCTGCGCAGGATGCCCACCGCTCGCCCCATCATCCGCGTGCCGCTCGGCCTTGTCCTTAGCCACACTCTCCCCAGTTGCAGCCCCGCGGCGTGCGCGGCGCCGGCGCTGCAGCCATTGCTGTGGGATGCGTCTGCCGGCTGGGAGCTGCACCTGGCAGGCCTGCTGCTCTGGGCCTGCACGCCGGACACGCCGAAGCCTGGCATGGGCGCCGCGGCAGCGGCGGCTGCAGCTGTGACCCCGCTACCGCAAGAGAGGCGCTTCTGGCAGCAGTATGCTAGGGTGCTGCCGCCCCTGGAGCAGCAGACGTCGCTGCTGCTGTTTGAGGAGGGCGAGTTGGGGGAGCTCCAGGTGAGGGGTTTCAGGGCAGCTGGCACACGACCGAGGAGGCTGCTATCTCCATCCCAGGGACAGCCTCGGGTTTCATCGCATGAGACGAGGCCAAAGTTTTAGGGCAGGCAGCCTGCGGCATAAACTCGCACGCACGTCGAAGCGCCAGCAGCAGGGCGGATTCACTGTGTATCGTCGCTGGCGGACCGCGTGATTTGGCCGACACCATCATTGGCCCGCAGCTTCAGCGGCGAACATGGCAGCGAACCTTCGTGCCGCGGTCCTCCTTGCAGGACGAGGCCCTGGCCAACGCGGCGCGCAGCTGGCGGCGGCACGTGCTCGACGCATACGAGGGGTTTTTCACACGCGGCACGGGCACCACCAGCCTCAGTGGCAGCCGTGACCGCTGGCGTCCGACCCTCCAGGACTGGCTGTGGGCCGTGGCCTCTAACGAGAGCAGGGCATTCGGCTTGCAGGTGGGCATGCAGGCACGGTGCCCTGTCGCAACACGCAAACAGGGCTAGCGCACCCAACCTGGCGTTAGTGGGCTTTTATTTGTCCTGATTCAGCACCCCTTCATGTGTCTGGGAGGCGTTGCGACCGCTGGCCACCCTTCAATGTCTGACGCCGCAGGTGGACGGGCAGGAGGTGCAGGCAGCCGTGCCCTTCCTGGACCTGGCCAACCACCGCCCCCGCGCGGCCCCGGCCCACACGGTCACCAGGCACGGCGGCAGCAGCGGCGACGCCGGCGGCGGCGGGGGTGGGGCCGGCAGTGGGGGCTTCTTTGAGCTACTGAGCGACCAGAGCTATGCTCCAGGGGAGGAGGTGTTTGTCGACTACGGGGAGAAGGACAACAGGTTGGTTGCCGCTTGGCGCCTGGGAGCCTGGCTGCCTGCGTGCTTTCATCACCAGCTGCAGGCCTGCGGCAGCACCTGGCAGGTGCAGTGCCGAGTCCGCTAGTGTTTGAGGAGACTTTGAGAATCCGCACACTGGTTCATTGCGCATGGCGCGTGCCACCTGTCTGCACCCACCCGCAGGAAACTGATGGAACAGTATGGTGGGTGCTCTTCTAGATCGGGGGGCGGTGGCAATTCATCAAGCTATCACGAGCCGATTGAGAAACTTTCTTCTGTGAAGCATTCCCAAACCATGCTTCTTTGTGAACTCTGATCACTCACTGCCGGTTCCCACCTGTTGCCCCTCAGGTTTTGTCTGCGAAGGAAACCCATATGATCGGCTGGACCTGACTGGCATGCAGCTGCCCAGCGGCTGCCGCATGAGCCGCGACGCCATTGCGGCGGCAGGGGCATCGGAAACGTTAGCAGCAAGTGCGGTCGGGGCGCAGCAGGGACGGCCAGGCGCAGCTTCAGCTGCGGAGGCGCAGGGGCGGCGGGTGCAGGCGGCCGTGGCGTCGCTGACGCGACACCTGGGATGGCGGAACCTCCGGGAGTTTGAGCTAGTATCTGGAACGACGACTGCGGCATGCGTGGCCGCGGCAGAGGCGTGCCTGCTGCGGCAGCTGGCCTCATTTGAGACGAGCGTCAATCATGACCTGGCAACGCTAGGTGCGATCGAGGAGCGCGCCGCCGCTGCCACGTCCGCCGCGTCCGGCGGCAAGCTGCGGCGCTCTGCAGCAGCCGTGCGGTATCGGCTGGAGCGCAAGCGGCTGATCCAGGCGGGCCTGGACGTGCTGCGCCGCGTCCACCGCTGACAAAAGTGAGTGAGCCCGCCGCCACCCCCCTTCCGGCCGACCGGCAAACACCTCGCCCACCCCCCAGCACACCAAGAACCAAAACGCCACCGCCACAGCAGGCCCGCCTCCTCCCCACGCCGCCCCAACCGCCTGCCCCGGACGCCCCGCGCCAAGTGTCACCTTTCCCAGCCGGCCGCAGTGTGACCTTGCACTGAAAGGTGACCCCAGTTTGCTCAACGGGTCCCGGATACATCATCGCCCAGAACCTCGGTCCGACGGCGCTCAACGGTCGAATGCAACGCTCGAGTCCGGCAACCGACTCCATATGTGACTGAAGCACGCGTTAGGTTGAAGACTACAACCACCCCACCCCACCGGCAATGACGTGCTTGACACTGACAGGCATCATGGTATGATAACTCACAGTCAACGCAAGCCTCATCATACACACAAACACAAACACCACTTGGGTGTGTATGCCTCTAAGCACTTCAAAGCCTCGCAACAGGTTGCATGCACTGTTTGCGCCGCGCTTGCAAACCTCTGAAGGCTGCACTCGACCCAACCCACTGTGCAACTTGCAGGGGCTCTTAAACAGCCTAAGCAAACTTTTGATTTGCCCTGGCTTGTAGGCAGTTACCATCACCATGTTCAGGGGGCAGGATTAGGATCATGCCCTCTTGCAGTTGTTAGTTGCAGGGCTCATGCTGACGTCAGCTGTTTCCTGTGGGGGTGGACCGCCTCCTGGACCCTCCGGCCGTGTGAAACGCCTCAAGCGGGCGAGCCGCACATGCAGTACGGCAAGGTCGTGCGACTTCACCGCGCCCAATACACAAGGACCCAATCTTAGGTTCAGAGGGCACGGGGATATACAAACGCGTCTGTGCTGCGCCGGTCAGCGCGTCTTGGCCTGCTCAAGCCCAACCAGTGCTGCCTGCCCTCTTGTTGGCCCCCATAGCTTGCCCCGCTGCATCACAAGGAAACAAGAGAGCCGAGGTCTCACCGGCGAGTGCGTTACCAAAGGCCACACTGCACGACAGAGAAACCCTCCGTCCATGCACCGCCTTCCTTCCCCAAAAGCAGCCAACGACAAGTACGCCAATGGAGCAAAGCATGTTTGTCGTGCTCGTGGGCTCATGCACACCCTTGGCAACTCGCCAAACCTGGTGCCCGCGCTGGCCTCGCACCATGGCCCATGGCCGTTGGCTGAGCCACGGATTACTCCATGGGCTCGTCACCGCCCATGGTGGCCTCAGACGACGCAGAGCTGACCGCGCAGCTGCCACCACCACCACCACCATAGCGACTGCCGCTGCTGCACACGCCCACGCTGAGGGCCTGCAACATCTGCGCCGCCGCCAGCGCCGCGTGCGCCTCGGCCTCCGACCGCCCCGCGGCCGCTGCCGCGCGCATGGCCGGGTCGTTGAGGTTGCCGAGGTCGCGCGTCGCGACCTCGGAGAGCACGAACAGCTTGGTCGGCTCTGCCATGCTGCCACCGCCAAACCTAGAAGCCGAGCAGACGGTGTAGGCGCCCGCGTAGTCAAAGGCCAGCCAGTCGCCGTCGCGCAGCGCAGGGAGCCGCGCGTTGCGGTGCACGCAGTCGTCGGTGCGCCCGCTGTCCCCCCACAGGCGACAGGCCATCGGCGCAGAGAGCTCCGGGCCAGGGGGTGGCAGCAGCGGGGAGCGCAGCACCGTGTAGGACGGCTCCAGGCCGTCTACCGCCACCTGGCGGTTTGAGGGGCATCAGCGCAGGTTCCAAAGTTGAGCCACGCCGCACACGCACCAGCTGAGGCCACCACAGCTGGGCACGCGCAACCCGCACCCTCCAGGAACCCCGCTCCTCCATCCGCCCTCAACTCAACAATCCCGACGCCGGCAGGCGACCCGAAGCATCCCGTCCGCACCACCCTTAACACACCGCCACCCATGGCCGCCCCCTCCCCCACCTGTATCCTAAACGAGCCGTAGGTGCCGTCACTCAGGTGGTAGTCGCGCAGCGGCGCCCCGCACGGCGCCCGCGACGCGCGCTGCCCCAGGATTGTGGTGAACAGGGTGGCTGAGGTCTCGGCAAAGTAGCGGCCCGGCTCTGCGATGATGCGCACACCGCAGCCAGGAGGGAAGCACTCGTCCAGGGCCCTGCAGTGCGCGCGTGATGTGTGTGTTTGTTTGTTTGTGATCATGTGTCTGGGCGCGTGTGTGTGTGCGTGTGCGTGTGTGCGTGTGTGTGTGCGCGCGCGCGTACGAACGCACACATGTGGAAGTAGAGCGCACGGCCGTGCAGGCAGACAGGAGGGCAGGCAAACCGCATGATGCGGCAGCTGGGCCACATGCTCAAGGGGCCCCAGGGGGCTGTGCCGGGCCCAGCCACCAGCTCCCATGCGCGCGAGCGCGCACCCGTTGATGACTGCTGCTGTGCGGTAAAAGAGGTCCGCCGTGACGGCGTCGTAGGGCGCGGTGAAGCCGCCCCCAATGTCCAGCAGGTGCATGTTTCCAAAGCCCAGCGCAGCGGCAACGTCAAAGGCCTCGCGGGCGCGGCGGATGGCGTCCGCGTAGACCGCCACGTTCTGGCAGCCGCTGCCGACGTGGAACGACACGCCCACCACCTGGAGAGGATTTTTGGGGGGGTTGAGGACGCAAGCGCAAGGGGCAGGGACAAGACGGGTGAGCAAACAGGCGGGCCTGCAGGCGTGCTGGCAGTGCAGGCGCTGCCGGCGCCGCCAAACACGGCTCACCCACCTGCCAAGCGATGCCGGGACCTCTTGCATGTTTCCGTCCCGCCTTTTGCCCCCCCCCCCCGCCCCGGGACAAAAACATCCGCGCGCCCCACGTGCCTGCAGTCCTAGGCTCTTGGCGAGGGCCAGCAGTGCGGGCGCGTCTGACTGTGGGTCTG